CAGCGCCTCCTGCCTCCTGCCATGAGCGGGGTAATTAACGCTGGAGATGTTAGCGATATAGAAATAAAGTGTGTCAAGGATGAGCGCGTGCCCTTGGGAGACGAGCCTCTTTATTCTTAAATAAGAGTTTAGAGCGGGTCTGGAGCGCGGTACATGCCGGCTACGTCTGCACTCCACGCCGGCCCGCATGTTTGTTTTCTCCTATTTGTTAACCCCCCCCCCCCCCCCCTCACCACCTCCCAGAGGAGTTTGTCAAAATGTCGACTATCATATTTGGGTTTTTTTTCTCTCTGTGTGGAGAGGAGTCATTTTGACACTGGAATTATGGGAGCTGATGGCGTGATGCACATCTTAGCAGCTAGGGGTATACGGGGGATGGGGGTGGGGGGTTGGAACACAGGGGGTGCAGGAAAGTTTGGGAGGGCCTAGACACGGCCATTTGCCATGCGGAGGTCGTGGAGGCGGCGTGGGTCGAGGGAAGGGCCCGTTTAATGTTGCACTGTCGCCGTTTTCCGGTCAAAAAGCTTAGTGCTGAGTGTCACAGCAGGCCGTCACAGCAGGCCGTCACAGCAGGCCGCGGATGCTGCTCAGGCCTGGGGTCCTGAGGAGCGGCATGGGGGTGGCCCGTCTTCTGCCTCTTCTGAGCAGAGCCAGCCACATTCTCGTGCTCCAGAGCAGGGAACACTTCCCAGGCTCCGTGCGTAAATCTGTTTCTCGGCACGCTAATTCTCCATGCAGTTTTTTCCCCACTTTTCTGGGTTTGGGACCTTCGGAGATGCCAGCAGGTTTGGTTACGGGCCTCTGAAAGCGGACCGCTGCACACACAATGTCCTCATTGTGAGCCATCTGGCTACGCCGTCCGCACATGACTCACACGGCACTTGGGTGTTACTTTTATGGAAAGTTGAAATATGTCATTTTAATACCGCCCACAAATTTGTTTTCCGACATCATTTTTTTTTCTTTTTCACCACAACGGGAAGTTTATTGACTGGGATTGCAAAGCGCAGTGTTTTACGGTGGTCCTTATTAACATCTGACGAGTGGAATAAGAGCCAGCTGGAAAGGACCTTTAATATATTTTTAACCTGGTACAGTTATTCATCATGTTTTTTTATTTTGAATGTTGTTTTTTTTGTTGTTGTGGGTTGTTGGATGGTTTTGTGGGGGGGGAGGGTGTTGACTGTGGTTTGCATTCGGTTGTGGTCATACCGTTTGCTTAAATAAGGCAGGACCAGTGTTTGGGCTCATAGAACCAGGTCTGTTCAGTCTGAAGAGAGCGCTGTGACCTCGGAGTTCGTGATGAGCGTTGGCTCTTGTGGGGGCGTGATACTCGCAGGCATGTCAATATAGAAATCAGTTACTAAGTGCTGGTAATTACCGGGGGACCTGTCTGCTAACAGCGTGATTCTTGTTCCTCAGAAATGACCGTGTTGAGTTGTGAACCCCCCACTCCTTCTCTTAGCCTGTATTGTTTGGCTGTCGGGGACATTCTTGGTGTGTGGTCTCCAACTCTCCCCTGCAAGCCCCGAAAAGTCTGCAACATCTGCTGGACTCCTGAACTGCGCATCTGTGACAGCGCACCACCAATGCGTCGCCGCCCCCCTCGCCTCCCCCCTCAACCGAATCGAATGGCCGTGTAACAGCAAGCAAGTGTGAATGGTTCAAACCGCACAATTAATCTTTATTTTTAATTAAGCTACGCTGAAATATGCTTCTGTTCTGCTTATTTGGATGCCGTTGGTAATCCGTGATTCTCTCGTACTGTCCCAGGAGCGCAGTAGGGGCCTGAGTACCCTGGCAGATTCAGGGAGTCCAGAACTTCATGGGGCCCTTGAATATGTAAAATTGAACCCAAGGTGACTTTTTGTCAGGTTGCCCAGAATTTCTGGCTCCGCCCCTGCACTGTCCTGTGATGTTTTTGTTTAATTTCTCGTTAATAACATGCCACAAGTCGCTTAACTCCAGGTCAGAATGTGCAGGCGTGTATGTAATGAGCATTTACCGTAGTATGACTGCCGACTGTCGGTAACATTTTGACATTTATGATATTGCATGGAGCCGGCTGCTGATGCATATGGTCACAGGGCTTAGGGTTCAAGCTAGCAGGATCCTGTAGGTGGCAGCACTGAGCCCAGGGCCGTTTGTGGCGTTGTACCCTCGTCATTCCTCACAGACGCCTCCCCCCCCCACCATTCCGGCCAGCACGCCCATCTCCCTGCCTGACTGCACTCCAATATTCTCTCCCTAATGAAGTGTTAAATTGAGGATGAGCGCAGTCCTGATTAGGTGTAATTTCCAGTCCTCTTTCCCCTCCGTCAGGTAGATGAGTCGCGTCATCCTTAGGACGGGCGCGTAACAACCCTGCTGACGGTCGGAAGGGAAGCAGGCAGATTGCCTTAATTTATTTATCACAACATGGCGGATAAATGCTGTAGATAAGTCTGTCTATTTTCATTTGTTGGTTTGTTTTTTATTTTATATTATTGCCGTTATTATTTTGGTGCTTCCCCCAGTTAACGGAGATTACCGTTTTGAGGTGAGGACATCATAAGGGCCAATCTTGTCATTAGCCAATGATATGTCTTAAATCTGTTGGGGACAGAGGATGGGGCACTCCAGGGCCCAATCAGCTTTCGGCTAGTGTCCCTGTGGTCCCGCCCCTGCATACAGCCTCACCCCCAGTGGGACTCCTGATGTGTTCCTGACCCGTGTCACTGTGCCCGGTCGGCTCTGCAGGTTCGCGTTGCTGACTGTGATGCAGGCGCCCATTCTCATTCGCTGAGCCACCAGTGTTCTGACATTATAGCACGTATCGGAATAGCATACTCCGTTAAAGCGCATGCGTAGAGCACAATTACGTAATGTTTTCCGGTAGCCTGTAAATTGTGCATACCGTTGCAAGAATATTCGACAGAAAATAACCGATTATATTTTCTTGTTATGTGTTTATTACATTGTTATAACTGTACAAGTAGTATGCATACTGTTTTTCAGATATGAGCTAGTACATAAACCCACCATTGCAAAAATGCTCTAGTTTTCTGTCATACACACACTTTTCTTGCATTGTCTGTTTTTGTTCATGCTTTGTAATATTCCGAATGAAGACTATTTCAGACAACTACTGGAACAATGAGTGCAGGAGGGAAGCAAGCTCTGTTACATGCTATATGCTGATTGTTCCTTATCAGATTAATACATTAAGAACCACAGGAATTTTGTTCTGATGGCGAATATTTCCTATGTAGAATGTTTTATCACCATTCAAAGCTATATGTATGTTGTTCCAACAGTGTACGTTTCCTTATCAGAACGTATTACCAACATTGAAAACCATAGATATTTTATTCTGAATATTTGGGCACGTTACCTCTGTTAAAAATACAGTTTATCCTGACATCGTAAATGTCCTTATCAGAGTACTTTACCCTCTTTAAAATATGTAGGTATGCTATTTTGATAAAGTGTGACAGACCTATAGATGTAGCCATAAATTTGCATTGCCGGTATGCTATTCTGATGAAGAACGGCAAAATGTCAGAACACCATCCACGTACATATTGGCGTTTATACACCCAAAAGGCCAGAAGTGGGTGCAGAGGGGACCCTGTCCTCTGATCCAGCTAACAGTGTCCAGCTGGCAGTACCTGTATCAATACCAGGCCAGAAAACACAGTTAAACTGGACCCACTAAGCGAGAGGTACAACAGTTAAACTGGGCAATTTTTCTCGTGCCATGGAAAAATGGTAGCTGGCACCGGTGGGCTGGACCCAAGCAGTGAGGGAGACCCCGCCGGTGGTTTGGGGGGGCCATCCTGCTGGCCGCTTCACCCCTGTGTCTTACCAGGCCTCCCAGTAACAATGGGAGCCCCTGACCACGGTGAAAAGGGCCCGAGACCAGACGGGACAGGAGCGGACGGCCCCCAGAAAGAAAACAGAGGCTGTTGCTCTTGGCAGGATGGTGGGGGGTAAGCTTGGGGTTGGGCTGGTTGAAATATGAGGCGTTAGCATAGTGAAAAGGCCTAGGCAAGTGGAGTGGGAGTCTATCAGGAGGTGGGGGGATGTACTGGGTTTCTGTGAAGGGGTGGGGGTGGTCGTTGAGGAGGAGGGTATCCCAGTCAGCTGTGTGGAGGGGGAGGGCGAGGTAGGAGAAGGCAGGTGTTTTGGGTGCACGTGTAAGAGAGGGGGTGCTGTGATGTCTCCCCCCACAAACAGCAGAGCGCCTCCTATTCTCACTCTGGATACAGCTGCCTGATGAAGCTCGTCCCTTCTCTTCGCACATGGTTAACATCTCCTCTCTGCAGTTTGACTAACAGGGTTATTATGCCTCACAAGCTTGCAGGTTTTTTTTATGGTCATTAGTGGTTTTCGCGAGCTGCCCTGCCTGCTTCAGTGCCCTTTCGCGCTCCTGGCCCCCACCTTCCCCCCCCCCACAAGGGCCTGCCGCTGGCCCGATTCTCCCCAGGGTCACTGCAGAGCAATATGATCGCCGGGGGGTCTGGGCTGCTGCCGATTAAGTCCTCTGGACCCTGACTCGGTGGTAGGAACCGTGGGGGGGGGGTGTCTTCATTGTCTCCTGTCTCTGGCCATTTCCTGTTTGTACCAGCGCCACATCCTGCCCCCTCGCGTTGAGGGAAAGCCACATTCTTCTACTGGTATTTTTTTTTTGTTCTGTCATTACCTGCTGTAATTAAAAAGTTTTGCCTGGCACTGTGACCAAGGTCACATGTGCACCGTTCTAAGGCTGGGGGGGTGGGATGTGGAGGTTTGGGTTAGTGGTGAGGGGTTTGTGGCCCTTAGGGAGGATGCAGAGGCCAGAGAGGGGCCCAGGCAGTGGATGTGGTCACGTCTGTCTTTGTCTTATTTAACATCTTGGAATATCCCATCGTTTCAGCTGGTCAATTCAGACACTTGGAAAAACAGATGTATGTTTGAGTTTTACAAGCTGCCCTTAACCTCACATCCCCCCTTTTCTCCGTCTCCCCTCCCTTCTGCAGCAGTAGAGGAAGGCGAGTCGTCGGAGTTTGCCGGAACCTGGGAATCCTCCTCCGCGCACACAGGTACGCGCCTCCCCTCGTGTTCCCCCGGGGGCCTGACGGGCCCTCTGCAGAGGTTGCGTTGCAGCTGAGCCAAACAAAACACCCCCCCCCCCCTCTCCATGGCGCCCCCGTGTGGCTGGGAGGTGGAGGTGCCAGCACACGCGCAGAAATGCGCCCTCGCTCCGTGACGAAGGGGCCCTTGCCTCCTCCCTGCGCTGTAGTGTGGGGTGGTGGCCTGGTGGGATGATGTGCACCACCCCCCCGGGGCCTGTGGCATGCTGAGGGTAACTGGAAAGTGCTGCATGTGTAAGACATGGCGGGGGGGGGGGGGTACATGGCCATGTCTCCGTGCCTCCTCCTCACCCCTGCTGTCTCCTCGCTCCTCCTCTGCCTTCCTGTGCGCCTCCTCTGCTCCTCCGCCTGTCTTTCCTGTGTTTGTTCGAGCCGCTGCTCCTTTCGCCCTCTCGGGGGCCTTGTGCTCAGTCAAAGAAAGAAGGTCCAATGAGCCCCCCTCCTATTCCCTGGGAGATGGTGTTGACAAGGACACTGGCAGGATTTTCCTGGTATTAAATTCAATTCTGCCCCCCCCCCCCCCACATTCTGGAAAATGTGTGTTTAGTTTGGAAAGAGAGAGTGGGGGGTGGTAGACAGGGGGGAGGGTGAGCATATAGATGGAAGAGCCAGACATCCTCCCTCTGCTCCTCAGACCCCCTCAGGTCTGCCCTTCATTGGGTGGGGGTGGGGATGGAGGCGGGGGTGGGGGTTGGGGCAGAGGTGCGTGCCACCCTCCACCTCTCCCCCCACAACCCCCCAACCTCCCGTAGCTCCCAGAGACAGAAAAACAACCCATCCCTCATGGGCCCTGAGGGGGGGAAGAGGAAGGAGAAAAAAAGTGCCTCAAACACAGGGTGGGTGGGGGGGGGGAGGGAGAGAGAGAGAGAGAGAGAGGAGAAAGGAAGGAAGGAAAAAGCTGGGAGGGGGAGGAGTGCAGTTCCTTCAGGAGCAGAGGGTGTCAAAGCAAAGTCCTTACAGGCCGCAGGCTGAGCTGCTCCCGTCCGGCTGAGCTCCTAATGAACCTCCTTCCCCGATCAAATAAATCAGCCAGTGAGAACCTGCTCACCCACCCGTGTCCACAAGGAAACCCTCTGTGCCGTCCTCGCTGTCCCCGGCCGCGTCCCTGTCCTCGCCGCGTCCCTGTCTTATCCTTGGTGCCCCTGTCCTCCAGCCCTCCTCAGCATCCCTGTGCTCCTCTCCTCCCTGTTCTGTCCTTGGGTGGCTTCCTTTGTGTACCCCCTGCCCACCCCCCTGCCCACCCCCTTCTCATTTTTGTCCTCTTCTGAACCACACAGACAGACACTCGCTCACTGCCGGCAGAGACAGTCACCGTACAGGAAGTTTACGTCTGAGCTTCACAGTTACGACCGGGCTGCGTCTAATTCACCTTCTCGCTCGCTCTCCGGGGGGGGGGGGGGGGGTGGACTCACAACCCTCCACCCCCCCATTCAGCCGCCCAGTGGTGTCACCCCCGCCTGAGATCGGAGTGGTGACATCAGTTCCTGGCAGAAATGCTGGCAGTTTTATACTGACGCATTTCCTCTGTTTCGGCCTGAAGTTGGGGTGGGGGGGGGGCAGGGATCCCAGACGCAGTCGCTGTGCCCCTGAGTGCCTTAACCCACAGACACCCCTCATCTGTGAAAATCAGTGTTAACTATAAAATGTGATTTTTTCATTGAGACAGCCCTCGGAAGAGCAGACGCCTGCACTTGTGTTTCTGCGTTTTGTTCGTGAGCTGTCAATTAGCTTGATTTTTTTCCCCCCTCTCCGCTGCCCTGCCTCTGCCCTCCCCCTCCCTCCGCAGGCCACGGCGCTGGGTGCTGGTCCCGGGGGGGCGTGTCGTTACGCAGACGTGGGCGCCCACTGCTTCGCGACTCGCTCCCTTCTGTGGTTTCTGTGTTTTGAAAACACGGCCGTCGGGGGCCGGGGTGGGAGTCGCAGAGGCAGTCGTCACTGTAAATAGTTCTGTGTTTACCCCCCCCACCACACCCCCGACGGCGGGAGTCCCATGAGGAGTCTGGGAAATATCGCTGCACCTTGGCGGTGGCCATGTGGCGGGCACTCACTCGCTGGCAGAGGGAGGCAGCCTGAGTGCGTCCTGGCCAGGCATCACTAGTCGAGTGCCAGATCGCTGCGATCAGACATCTCTAGCTGAGCGTGCCCATCCTGCCCATAATAATATTGCCTGCTGCTTTGCTGGAGGTGCAGGCTTTCATTTCGGTAAAAAGCGACTGACTCTGGGTCCATGTTGTCCGCTGGGCATGATGTGATGCCACCCCTGGTGAGGGTTAAGCGTGCCCAGGGTCCGCCGGGCACAGATTGGAAGCTCGTCCGGCCGAACGCGCCCCGTCTGACTCTGACGTTCTCTTTTGGAGCAGCTCCAAGCCCGACATGCCCCATGATTTTTATGCCCGATTTGGGCTCTGACACGTGCTGGTCCTGTTCTGTCCCCCGGACCGGCTGCTCGGCCCAAATGTTCAGCGCTGAACTTTATTACTCATCTGTTCTAATATTCGGTTTTTATGAGGGCAGCACGGGCCTCACGCCTCCCGGGATGTGCGCATGTGCGTGCGTGTGTTCATGCGTGTGTTCATGCGTGTGTTCATGCGTGTGTTCATGCGTGTGTTCATGTGTGTGTTCATGCGTGTGCATCTGCGTACTTGCATCCACGTATGTTTGTGTGCGCGCGTACGTGCATGTGTGTGTGTGCGTGTTTGCGTACATCATGTGTGTGTTAATGCATGCGCATCAGCCTATCTGTGTCCACATACGTGTGTGTCTATGTGCATGCATGTACATCTGCGTACGTGTGTGTGTGTGTGTGTGTGTGTGTGTGTGTGTGTGTGCGCAGCCTGTAATGAGCTCGGATCCCATCCCGGCTGCCCTCTACCTGTGTTTCCTGGGGTAAGCTCCAGGATTTTTGGATGGATAGCTGTCTAAATAAATATATCGAGCAAGCTGCAGGAAGGGAAATATTTCTGCGGCTGCCTGAGTAATGGATTCCTGTACTATTGAAGGGGGCTGCACTTTGTGCCACAGACCTCCAACACGGGCTGAGACTTGGTTACTCCAGCTTTCGACGGGACTCCCCAGTGGGCACCTTTCTCACTGTGTTTTTGGGTGGTTGTGTAGCTTTAGCGGGTTAGGAAGTCCACATCCAGAAGATTGTGGAATTGAATCTTGTAACCTGCATGGATTGAAAATACCCCCCCCCCCCCCCCACATATACCTATTTAATCTCCCCAGTTGTGGGGGCTTCAATCGCGTGGGTTGTTCAGGTTGAGAGTCCAGACCAAGATTTTGTTTCAACCAACCAGTTGAGTACTGTGCCTCAATATACTCAACTGGTTGGTTGAAACAAAATCCTGATCTGGATTTTTGCTCTCTAGGTCTGAACTACCCATAGCTGAGGGCAGAAGGTGCCCACATCTTAATCTCTGCCCACCCCCTTGGACCTTCCAACCCCCATGCCCATAGTCTCCATGCTGCGCTACAGTCCGACTTGGCATCCTGCGGGACCCCGGAGCGTCCTGGCGGCCTGACATCACGATAAAGGGGCGTGGTCTGTGGGTGTACCCGGTAATGATGGGGGTGTGACCCCTGAGCACACCAAATGCGGGGGGGGGGGGGGTCTGTGTGCTGGATGAGGAGTAGCACTGGCATGGGTGCTTGTCCTGGCCTTGTCTTGTCTTTGCTTGGCTGTGTTTCCTGTTCAAGGCGCTTGTCACGGTAACAGTTCTGTTTTTAGCGTGAGAGGAGCAGTAGGAGCGCGGATTGGGGGGCGGCACCGTGTGCCAGGGTACATGTGTGTGCGGCGTACCGAGGGAGGGGGCCGTGATCACTGGTGCTGCCGGAGATGGCTCTGTGACTCACAGATAATAGCACTCAGCGGATCATGGGGGGGTGGTGGGGGGCTCCAGCGGCCTGGGGGGCTGCTATTTAAAGCTCCGTCGGAGCAGAGGGGCGCATCCCCAAACCGTTCCCACGGCGACAGCCACGGCACTGGACACCCTAGGTATGTGCTTTTTTTGCTAGAATGTTCCAGTAGGTAGGTCAGTCAGTCCTGAATTCACAAACAAAAATAAGTGACAAATAAAGGTGCGGTGAGCGTGGGGGGGGGGGCAGGGTGGCTCCCCTCTTCTGCTCCTGCAGCTTCCATCTTGGCCATAATTGGGGTCTCTAACGGGGTGCTTGGATCGATTGCGTCTTTGGACGCTGTAGATTAGAGCACAGGGTCAGACGTCATCTTTGGCCCCACTGGTGTTAAATACCTTGCTCAAGGCCTCTGCAATATAATTTCACTTTTGGCCCCGGGATTTGAACCCTAAACCTTCTGGACATGGGCACGATCCCTAAGCCACTACACTCTGCCCTGCTTTATTAATAGTTTCACTATTTACCTACAGTAATACAAGTAATGAATCTTGTGTTACCCTCAGTCACGAGTGAAGATCCCCAGCAGCTTGGCTGCACTTGGAGGGGCTTGGAACACACTTTGGGGAATCCCCCCCCCCCCCATCCCACACCAGGTGGTCTTCAGCCTGCTTAATCATTGATGCTCCTCCATCCCTCCCTCTCTCTCTCTGTCCTTATCCAGCCCTTACCGTTCACACTCCTCCTCTCTCATTAGTGACCCCTGAAAAGGAAAAGCTACCGGCGCCGAGTCCGGTCCTGGTCACGGCGCCTCCTTGCACCGCATCCTCCTGATGTGTGTTACAAACGCCGCCCTTGCGAAGCACGGGGGCATAAAGAGGCCTTGTTCAGCTGAATGGCCCTTTTGAAATCATTAGTCTCCTTGGACACCACTTCCAACGCTGGCTCTCATTTAATTTCTCCTTTCCTTCCCTCAAATTGAATTATGGGTAAAAACACAGTGAGCCACCGCAACACAAACGAGCATTTCCCGGTAAGGACCCACTGGGCTGGCCTTTCTGGTTTCGGCGCTAGGTCCTGGACAGTAGGTTCCAGTGTAGGAGGTATATGTATGTGCCCCCCCTATGCCCCCACCCGCCGCCTCCGTTGTCTTTTTAGGGCCTGGGGGAGAATGAGAGACCGCTCTGGTGTTCTTTCTCTTTCGATCACTGCCGTGCCTTCGTTCTGATTTCATTTGTTTGCCTGCGTGCTTGCTGAGGCTCCTCCAATCGGCTGCAGTTTACCGCTGGGGCATCCACTCCCCCCCCCCCGCCCCCACCCCCGCTCTCCCCGAGACCCACAGATAAATGGCATAGTCTGTGTTTATCATGGGGGTGCACGGGGGTGCGTGGTATCGAGCCGGCCGGCACGGCACGGCGCGGGGCGGCGATGCCAGTAATGGTGGTGGATGGCGCAGTGTGGGGGTGTCCAAATGAAGTGTGCTGGGACCCCCTCCCAGGCGGCCCCTCTCTCCCGAGATTGGAAGCGCTTAGTGACGGAGCGGCAGAGGAGCAGGGCCGGATGTGTAGGTGGTGGTGGGGGGTGGTGCTGGCAAAGTGCCCCCTCCCAACTCTCCCCATCCCCACCGAGTGCCATCCATCTCAGTGGGCCTCACGGGGCCGAAGGGGGAGGGGAGCCGGGGTCGCTGATTGGCCTGGCTCCTCCCCTGTTGCCATGGCAGCCATTTGTGTTGGCATGTCCGATCTCTGGCAGGGGGTTGGGGGGGGAGCTGGGGGCCTCCCACGGGTCCTTCTCTCGATTTGTGGAATAGGGTGAAGAAGATTCTCCCATTGGCGTGTGGGACCCGAGCCGGGGGGCGGTGTAGGCGATGAAGGATGCTTTTGGCAAGGAGGCTCTCTCGGACCGGTCCAGACGGCACCCCCACCCCTGGGCAGATGGCTCTGCCCCTGCTCCCGCCCCCGCCGCCCACCCTTAGCATCTCTCCCTGGGCCAGGGGGGAGAGTCTGCTCTGCCTTCCCATGATCCTCTCACCCCAGTCCCACCTGCCTCGGCAAGCCCCCATCCAAATCACACCGGCCTGCCCCTCTGCTGCGGACGCGATTAGCGCCGGTGCGGACCAGCCGCATGCCAGGTACAGCGGAATTGGCACTAATCAGCGGCAGGGCGCGGCACTGAGCCCCCCCCCGGGGGCCTGATTGCGCCCGTCTTGGGTGATTTGGTGAGTCCGAGGCTTCCCGCCCCCCGCCCTCCTCCTTCCCTTCCTCTCTTTCCTCCTTCTCCTCTTTGTATTCCTCCATCCTTTTTTGTTCCCTTTTTCTTTCCCGGCCCCCCCTCCCCCGGCCGCCCTGCCTCAGTCTCCAGTGTAGCCCTTTCAGAGCGGAGCGTTTAATGTGATAATAAGGTGTGAAAATCGGACCACAATGGTGGGGAGGGTTGCTTTGCTCTTTTTTTTTTTTTTCCCTTCCTCACCCCCCCCTCCCATCTCCTCTGATCTAGCGCGGATGATGTGACCACTGGGTGCTGGCTGGGCCAGGTGACCTCAGGCCGCACCCTCTCCTCAGACTGCCCCCCTCCCAATCCCTGCCCGGCACTGGCATCGGCCCTGTGCCCACCTCCTGCCCGCTTCTGCCACACGTTTGTCCGTTCTGTCTGTCGGCCGTAGAATTCCGATACTTCAGGACTCGCTTGGGGCTTGGGCAGGTGTGCGAAGCCACACGCGTGTGTCTGTGCACGGGGGCCGCTGATGTCACCGCCCGCTAGACAGTGCTCATCCCCAGTCCCCAGTGCAGGTCGTCTCAAGGAATCTGCCCGTGTTTAGTATTCAGTTCCGCCCAGGCTTCAGCCTTGGGCTCGTCCAACACCGTAACATGTCTGTAGGTGGTTTACATTATAAAATCCTTGGGGTTGCCCCTTATTAAGAAGGATTTCGTAGTATAATGGTGGCATGATCAGTCAAACCAGAGCTGCACCCAGGGTTTTTCCAAGCCATGGCCAGGCCCATGAAAAATTCTGCTGAAAAGCCCCCTCCCCAAACCAAAGCTACCATTGTCCCCACTCATGGGCGCCACCTACTGTCTGGACCACTGAAAGCCTTCCCCTTTTGGCCAGGCCTGGTTGTACCCAGGACTCCTTTTTCCTGGATGTACGTGAGCTTGCGTGGGTGTGTTTGCTGGTGGTGATGAGAGGCTGTGACATCAGCGTGTCGCCCTCCCTTTCTTGCAGATGTTCCTGGGCCGGATGGCGACTCTGACCCAAAGGAGTGTCGGGGGGGTCTGGAGGATGGCGAGCAGAGCGTCACCAGCCAGGATGAGCGAATGGCCGACGACGATCTGGACGACGAGCCCATCTTCACGTGTGACAACTGCCAGCGCGACTTTGAGTGCCTGGCTGAGCTGACGGAGCACCGCACCAACCACTGCCCCGCCGGTAAGAGGCCCACTCGCACTCGCTCTGACTCGCCCCACAGTCGCTCTGACTCACTCTGACTCCCTCTTACTCGCTCTGATTCATGCTCGACCTCACCAATGAAGGTCTGATCGCATTGCTCACCACCGCTCAATCGACACGATTTGGCTACAAACGGTCAGTATACCTGTTGGGCGAGTGCCCCCAAGGTGATTTTATTTTTTTTTGTCAGTAACCACAAACTGCCCCCAACCGCATGTTCACCGAACCCGCTTTGGGCAGGTTTGGGGGTAAACAGCCAGGCATTTATGACACCCCCCCCCCCCCATGTCTTTGCCCCGCCCCTCTGCCCTGGGCCCCGGTTAGCGCGCCGGCGGAGCGGCTGTCCTCCCGATCGTAACCGTAATTAATGGAACGCTAAAAGCAGAGCGGCGGGGCTGCAGCTCCCTAACAGATTAATCAAGGCGTGCTCGTTAACGAGCGCGAATCCGACAGAGAGAAGGAGGATTCCGCACGAAGGGGGGGCGTCCGTGTATGTGTGTGTCGCCACCGCCTGTGGGGGTGCGGCAAGTAAAAGGCGGGAGAAAATCAAAGCCCTCTTTCATCAGTGTGTGTGTGTGTGTGTGTGTGTGTGTGTGTGTGTGTGTGTGTGTGTGTGTGTGCGGCCTGACAGGCGTGTTAACGCAAAGGGACCCAGGCTCTCCCGGGACAGGGGTGCTGCGGTTTCCACTTGGAGTCATGTGAGAACCACATGTTGCTTTGTGGATTGGGGAGGGGGGGGGGAGAAGCTGGGACGGGAAAATAAAAAAATAAAAAAAAAGAAAAGGAGAGATGAAATGAAATGATAAAATGTGACATCTCGGGGGGAACCCCTGTCAGCCGTGCAGATTGTGGTGTAATCCGGACCCCCAGCTGGGGAGCGTCTCCCCCCCCGCCTTATTATTATTGAAAAGAATGGTAAATTAAAAAACACTCGCTGACGAATCCTTTTAAGTTCTCTGTGCACCCTGGGGAGGATCCTGGTGGGGATAGCAGAGGATGCAGCCTCTGTTTCCATCAAACGGGGATAAACACGGCAGTGAGTGTGTGAGCGAGTGTGTGAGAATGAGGGGGGGTGGGGGCTGATTAGTGAGCCCCAGTGCCATGCGGGGAGGCCATTTTGGCGTAGGTGCCTGCTGGAGGCCATCTTGGTCAAGGTCGTTGGCGAGGGGCCCCCCGGCTCAATGCTGCGCACTGGGGGGGCCGCCGGGGGCAGGCGGTGCTGCTCCCTCACACCGGACCCTCACAGCATCTCGCTGCACCCCATCGAAGGGGGTATTCTGTTAACTTAGCGTGTATCACGGCGGAGGGAGGTCAGAAGCATGTTCTTTGGCGTTACAGTATTCTTAATTCTCTCTCATTTCGACCATGATGGCCAACCTCCCCAGGAAATGTGGCAGTAACCCCCCCCAGCACTAAAATCTACCCTCCTGGTGCCCCTCTGTCTTGGCTGGTAGGACAGCCCTGCAGACCCCGGCTGTGGGGGCTTCAAGTTTAAGCATCTGTGGGCCCTCCTGCATGTCCCAGCTAGTGTCCCCCAAAGCCCCCCCACCCACTGAGGTAATGGGTCCGCCAGCCTGTCTCTTTCTGTTCCTGTCTGATATGTTTCTAATAAGGGTCC